TAGTGAGGTTGGCCCAGGATCGGGCAGTGTTTCGTTCTGCTGTGCATAAGGTTGCTATGGGTCAGTACCGACTCAATGGCACCTAACAACAACAACATCAAATCAGAGATTGATATATTTTTTCCATGAGGGAGGATCTTTCTGCTTGAACTGCTGGGTGTTCTACTCTGTGTGCTATTCTGAGGGTCACCTGCTTTTTCATTCACTGGTGGAACTTCTGGCCCACCAGTTGTCTACTGGGGGCTGCCTTTTACTGACTGACGGGGGCTGATCTGTTGTTCTGGCTGCCACACTAGCTCTGTGAGCAGCTGCTACCCAGAAACTCCCCCTCCCTGTTCCTGGGTTTTCTATGCCTGCATCCCTGTCCATCAATTGCACCAAGGAGATAAGGAGCACAATGTAATATTTAGGCTTCTGTTTTGTGAGACACTTGGGAATCAGAGCAGGAGCTCAGATCAGGGGATTAGGTTCCAGCCCTAGCAATTTTACTTTTGGATATTTGCACATTTTCTCCCTGACCCCTCTTTTCCTGCTCATTGTCCAAGATAAGAGGGGTCCAATTTCTCACTCAGATAAGAGTGCTCCTGAGAAAACAGACAGGTTGGGGGAAATGTTCCCACTCATTTTACTGCAACAGGGTCAAGACATTTAACACCAATGACCATATTTTGCAGACTTGTTGGGATTTTCTGAAAACTAACCATTAAAAATTGGATTTCTTCTGACATGACTGGGCCTGGAATTCCAGTCCACATACAAGCAACTGGGATGCCCTCTGTGCCTTTCTTGTTGTTGCCTGTCCTGCACTGACTTCCACCAGCAGTGACCCCTCTCCTGCCCCTTCTGGAGCGGCAGTGAGGTGGGAAGGTGATCTCCTAACTTCCTAACTTTCCAGGCCCATGCCATCCTGGCATGGGTTAGAGCCTGGGGGGCTGCTCCTCTCCCCATTCCTCCAGACACTACCAAACAGACAGGCCCACACCAGGACCCAGAGATGTACAGTCTAGCCTGCCCTGGCCATGCCTATCAGTGCCCCTCACTGGGCAGGAAGATGGTAACAGTGGGTGCCTATGTAGCCCCTCACTGACAGGCGGGTAGCTGGAATCTCCCCTGTTTTTCTGATCACCCCCTGGCCATCTGACAGGGCCAGGACCCAGTCCCTGGAGATGCGCCTGGATGAAATAAGCTGTAGGACTCTCTCGGGGAACTTTAGGTTTAGGTTGCATCAGTGTTATGGAAAAGCAAGTCTCTGTTGTTTGGAGGTGGGGTGGGTGGGATGGCAGGGCAGCTCCTCATTTATGGCACTGCCTACAGAGCAGAAGGCAAAGATGAGAACAGAGAGAGGAAATAGAGAGGGGCTGGGAAGGGCTCCAGATGATGACGATTCAGCGTCAATGGGTCCATTGTAGCCCTGGGGAGGGGGTGCCCTGAGGTCGAGTGGGGCTGATTGGGAATCACTGGAGGTGTTTCAGAGATCTCTTCATGTAGGGACACTTTCTCAGATGTGGTATCTCTGGTCCGAGGTGGGAGGTGTAGGGCCTGGGCTGAGCTATGGGGGACAATGGTGGGGTTTGGGTGAGGGAGCGAGTTCAGCGTTGTGAATTACAGGGTGAAGGAGGGGAGTCCTCATCCCCACCCACTGATGTGTCAGCCTGGACTTGGAGCGGGCTCTGCAGAGCTCAGCACTGCCCAGGCGGTGGTGAGATCATGGACAGATGGCCTCTTAGGCCCCCATTGGCCCCAGCTGAAGTCACAGCATGGGCTTGCTGTGAGGAGACCTTCGCTGTCCCTCAGCTGAGGGTGGCCAGGCTGGACTCCTATAATCTTCACTGCTGAGCTCTGAGAGTGTCCTGCCCTCACTCTCGTGTCACCCCACCTCTGGGCTGCCCTTTCTGCCCACTTGCATTTAGGGATTCTCCAGTAAGTTCTTCTCAGTGAAGTGAGATTGTACCCTTGAGTCATCCAATTCACAGTTTGGAGAATGTGGTGAAGCACTCTACAGCTGTGAGGCTGTCACCTGCACCTGGGGGTGGCCCCTGACCCCCCGTGGGGTGCACAGTACCTAACAGGAGTGTGCTGTGGGCAAGGAGAGGAAGCAGTAGTACACACAGCATGAAGAGGTGCCGATTCTGGTCCTAGCTCCACTACTGACTCAGTTTGACTTTGATTAAGTCATGTCCCTTAGTTTCCCCATCTGTAATGAACAGGATAATCCACAGCTCTGGCATCTTATGATCATAAGAGTTTGGAGTGACTTTGTGTCCTCTGGTGGAACTAGTGTAGAACACACCTGTGGAGTTTGGGCCTGAGGCTCCCTGTTCATATGTGAGGTCCACCTTTGCCCCCACCCAGAGAGTTTCCCTTCTCACATTCTTTCCCTTGTCTCTGGGCTCCGCCAGGTGAGTGTCTGCTCACAGGACAATCCCATTTCAAGAGCTTTGACAACAAGTACTTTACCTTCAGTGGGATCTGTCAGTACCTGCTGGCCCAGGACTGCCAGGACCACTCCTTCTCAATCATCATAGAGACTGTCCAGGTGAGTTTGGCTGCCAGGTAAGCTTTGCAATCACTGTGGGGAAGCCTGAGGTGGCTGGAATAGCTGCTAGGGTGAGAGGGCTGCGCTCGATAGGAAGGGGAGTGGGCAGTGCCTTTCTGTGGAGGGAGGCCCCTTCTACTAGACTTCATTTAGCCTCACATTGTTCCAGATAGCCAGAGAAGAATCCCCTTGAGACCTAGTTTGCTACCCCAAGGTTATCCCTCGACTGTTGGAAGCTGGCAGATAATGAGGATGAGAACAAGATGGGTCCATCTCCTTTATTGAACTCTATGGTACACGGAGTCCTGGTATGGCGCTGTGGGTTAATGCACTGGATTGCAAAGTCATTTGAATTGCAAGGTTGGTGGTTTAAGCTCAACAGCCACTCCTTGGAAACCTTATACAGGGTTGCTATGAGTCGGAACTGACTCACTGACACTTAACAACAATACAACATGGTACATGTGCATATGTGTGTGTTTATCTTTCTCCATCTGTCTATCTATCCTCTATCTAGAGTCCTGGTGTGGCACTGTGGGATAAAGTACTGGGCCCTAAGGTCGGTATGGGCCATAAGGTCAGCAATTCAAACTTACCAGCCACTCCTTGGAAATCCTATACAGGGATAAGTTGGAACTGACTCAACAGTACTTAACAACAACAGTCTATGTATCTAAAGTTTGTGGGAAAATTCCACAATGTTTTAATTCCATTTGTTCCATGAACATTTTGAAGCCCCCCTTGTATTTATAAAAATACCAAAAAACCATATCCACTGCTGTGGATTTGGTTGTGACTCACAGCAATCCTCTATGTGGTTTCTGGTTCCCTCCTTCCCCCCCATATTCTAACCTTTATTTTCAGTAGAGCTGAAGAGATAGAGCCAAATTAAGACAGAAACAGATTTTTATATAATGCTTTTCTAGAAAAATAAAGGCTGAGATTAAATTAGTAAAATTACTGTTTAACTATAGAAAGCTAACTTCAAAGATACCAGTAACATATACCCCTCCTCCCATTTTGAAAATTCCCACATATACTTTTTTTTTTACATTCAGTAGCTCATTGTAATAATTACTATCCCCTCCCTGAACCCTGAGCCAACAGTATTAATCTCCATTACCTTTATATATATACATATATTATAATTGTATGTTTGTTTAAATGTCCAAAGGGTACATTTCCTAATAGGTTTTCTAAGACTGCCAGTCTTTCAGGGAGCAGCCAGCCTCATCTTTCTCCCATGGAGTGGTTGGTGGATTTGAATCACTGAAGCTTTGCAGCCTGATGCCTAACCCATAGCACCACAGGGCTCCTTTGTGTGTACATCTATATACATGTTGTTGTGAAGTACTGTTGAGTGGGTTCTGACTCACAGCAACCCTGTAGAGGGGTTCCAAGAAGCAGCTA